GATCAGGCCCCCCGTGATCTCGGGCGTTCCCTGAGCGCCGGTGGAGACACCCGCGAGCGCATTGAGACATTCGCCCAGACTGGCGCGCGCGACATTCAGACGGAAAGCGAAGCTGCAAAAGGTGATTCCGTGACCCCCCTGCCAATTGCAGCGATCACATCTGCGCGATGTGTTCAACGCTCTTGTCTTTGGCGAGGCAGGCGAGGATGAGGTTGCATTCGTTGCGGGTGTCAAGTGTTGGATCCGCGACCATCTGAACACGGACGTTGCGCAGCAAATCGCGCGCGCAGACGTCCATGTCATACTCGCGGGTCAGAGATCCGACAATGCAATATATATACACACATATATATATATGTATATCTATGTTATAAGAAGCTTGCCTCGAAGGCAGAGAGCAGGCATCAAAGGTTGATTGCCGCGGGGCAACCGTCGGCTCGCCAGTGCCGTTTGGCCGGCGCCGAGGTCGACCCTGACGACGTGGAAGCATCTGGATATCTCCATGCCAGGACGTTTTCCTTCGCTTCCAGGGGCGCCCTGTCCTCGGGCAGGAGATGACACGCGAGCGCGAGATTAACGACGAGCGCCCTTTGATTATGGAAGACGCGGGAATGGCCACACGCCTTCACGCCGAAAGCGCTGCGAAAGGTTCTGGCGGACGTAGAGTCAAAGCACCTGGCGCGATGAGTCGCGCTGAGCGTTAGAAAAAAGGGGTTCGCGACTTCCCCGCCCCCACTGGGAAGGGGGCGGGTCAGGGCCGCGTCGCCCCGGCGCAGCTCAGAGCGGATAATCGCACCAAAATGGGGGGCAAAGCTTTCGGCAAGGGGATCGATCCTGTCGCCGACCCCCCTTCAGCCCCGCCTCCGACGCCTCCACCGCCGCGCCGCGATGGGCCGGCCATGGGCGCTGCCTCTTCCTCGGGCGCGGCGTCATCTGGCGGCCCTGCCCCTGGCGACGCCAGCTGGACTGGCGGCGCCGCTGCAGCTGCCGCGACGACTGCGGCGACGGAGCGGAGGCCGAGGGCGCCGCCGCGCCGGCCGCAAGGCCCGCGCCGCCAGACCAGCAAGGCCGCGCCGAGCCGCGCCGAGCGCAGTCGGAGCGGCAATCGCAGGACGCGGCCAGAGGCATGATGGCGTGATTCCCTGGATCACTAGCGCCACAACACATGCCGTTACTGGTCATGCCATTTAAAGGGATGGATCTACATTGTCGAGAACGATTGCGAATACATGTTGGGTTGATAGTCTGCAATTCGTCAGTCATGGCAATCGTATTTGGGACCCTGCATATTACGACCCCCGCAGGTTTCGTTGTTTGAATTTCAGATGGCAGGATTCCAGGTTCCTTGCGTTCACCAATACAATGCTTGGATCAACCTCCAGATGATATGGTTTCGTCACATATTGTTCTGCATTCTGGGCAGGAAAGTACCCTGGCAGGTCGCCCACCCCATTGCGTGGCATTCTCGTCGACATCATGTGCATCACAGCTCCCGGGCAGGTCGCCCGTCGTAAGTAGTATCACATCGTGAACCTCATTGCATTTTCATGGGATGCCGGAGACGCATAGTACGACATACGCAAACCATACTTCCTATGACTCATCTCAGCGATTATGTCTTGTTGAAAATACGTTGGGTATACTTCGCCAAATCTTTGGCCCGGAGTGCCCCGCGAACGACGTTGACGCTATCCTTAATTTGATCAGTTGTCGTAGCAATTTTGACATGCAGTCTCGATCGAGATATGTTTTGTTCCTGGAGTGCCCCGTGAATGATTGTTATCTTATTATTACTTTGATCAGTTGTCGTCGCAACTTGGAGCGCAACACTACTGAATTCAGGCTTCGGGTTGCAATCGCCCTCATATTTTGAGAGCATCTCTGCGCGCGTTACATTGTGTGCCGGTGGAGACACCTGCGTCGTTCATCTTGACGCAGGACGGTTTTTCCTTCTTCTTTTCCTTGCTCTCCCAAGCTCGTCGCCTGCGTTAACGGAGAGTCGCCCGGGAGTGCCGAAGCGTTTTCGGGTGCGCACTCTGGGCCCGCTAAGGGCGAGTAGACTCCCTGAAGTACCCTGTGCGACGTGTTTGGTTTTTTCTCTTAGCCGAGACTGCCTCGTTTGGAGGATCCAGGGGATGGAAGGGTGAGTTGAGTGGACCTCACACCGCTGTTCCCGAGTCCCGCCTGTTTCTCCCGTGCGCCCGAGGCCCGCGAGAAACGGGCGGGATTCGGGACGGGGTGTGTTTGTGTGCAGTCCGATCATATCATCTTTCTATCAATTCATCCTGTTGTCCCCAAGGTATTGGATAACATTCGCGCCGCTCATTCCGCGGTGCATGGGAAAACATATTCTCTTCCTTCCCAATCGTCTTCTACCTATGGACCATGTGGTCGGTTCGGATCCTTGGTTGTCAACTTCCGTGCGCACAGGATGCCACAGGAGCGCCTCTAAGCACATGTGTTTACGTACGTTCTTGTAGATTGGGTTTTTCCTGGGGCGCGAATCCTTGGTGTTGTACGTGCGTGTTGTCCTTCCTTTGTGGTTTCAATCCTATATTCTTTCTTGTATGTTCGTGTAGACTGCCCCCCCCCCCTTGGACGCGAATGCGATGTGTTTACGTATGTCTGTATATGTATATACATTAGTGTGTGTGTGTAAATACCTGAATATATATATATATATGTATATATATATATATATATATAGTGTTGCCCCTTTTCCTGCGGCTTCACTCCCAAGTGTTTTACGCATGTTCGTATACGTCGGGCCATTCCACTCCGTAGCGCGGCTGGCTGTATCACGGTCCAGCCATTGCGAGAGATTTGCTTGGGCCAGCCAGTGAAGCGCAACGGTGTCGCACGTCGTTTGCATGAACAACCTTTTTCCTTGCTCCGCCACGGAGGGGGAGATCCCGTGGCCACTTCGACCCAGCCAGGCCCATTCATGGTCAGACCACTGACGTGCACATATCTCCACCCCAAGAGTAGATAGATGCAGATTCACGCGCATAGACTCACTCGTACTGTTGAGACCCATTCACACTCCAGGTCGTTCACAGTTATATCCGTTCCCAGTCTGTCAATGACCAAGCCCGAGCATACACGACAGTTCTCGCGCCTAGGCGCTTACGGCGGAAACGTCCATGCAAATAGATGCGCAGATGGGGAGCTCCACGTAGTGATTTTTCATGCCGCGCCAACTCTTTCCTCACACCTCCTTCCTCTTCTTCAGTACAAAGAATTGATGACAATATGCTGGCGGCGATGATGATTGCGACGACGATGTTGATGGTAATGATGAGGACGATGATGAGGATGGTGATGATGATAACTTGGATGGTGATGATGATGATGCTGATGCTGATGCTGATAATGATGATGATGATGATGATGATGATGATGATGATGATGATGATGATGATGATGATGATGATGATGATGATGATGCAGATGCTGATGCTGATGCTGATGCTGATGCTGATGCTGATGCTGATGCTGATGCTGGTGCTGATGACGGAACAGATTTTGAGGATGTGTCGGGCGAGGCGCTGGTTTCAGCTTTCCCAAGGGGGGCCGCCAGGAGGTATTCCACTCCTCCGTTCGCACCCATATTACTGGGATGTCTCGAGCGGTTTGCCTTTTCGCGTGCTGAGCATCTTCTGCCTTCGGAGCAACTTTTGAGGATGTCTCGAGCGATGCGTTGGTTTTCGCACACCCAAGGGGGGCGCTAGGGGGTATCTCACTTTTCCGTTCGCGCCCAGATTGCGGTGATGTTTCAAGTGGTTTGCCTGTTTGCGTGCCCAACTTTTTTGCTTCCGGAGCAGATTTTGAAGATGTCTCTGGCGAGGCGCTGGCTTTGGCACCCCAGGGGGGTCCAGATTGTGAGGATGTCTCGGGCGATTTGCTTGTTTTGCTAGCCAGGCTCGTCTGCGTTCAAAGCACATTCAGAGGACGTCTCGGGTGAGGCGCTGGTTTCAGCATCGCCAGGGGCTCAGCCTGCGAAGGTGTCTCCGGCGGTTTGCTTGTTTTCGTGGCCAGACTCGTCTGCGTTCAGAGCAGAGTCCGAGGACGTCTGGAGCGAGGCGCTGGTTTCAGCACTCTCGAGGGGGGAGTGGGTACAGTGTTCTCACGGGCCCCTTCGCGCTCAGGTTGTGGGATGGTCTCCAGCGGACTGCGCGCTCGGGTGCCCCTGCTCTCCGAGCAGATGGCGAGACTGTCTCGAGCGAGGCGCTGGTTTCAAGACTCCCCCGGGGGGGAGCCGTCAGGGTACAGTTCCTTTCCCCGTTCGCGGCCACTGTGGGGCTGTCTCTGGCGGTTCACTTGTTCGCTGGCTCAGGCCTCTTTCTTTTGAGAGCCGCATGGTCGCCGCGATAAAGCAATCGCATCATGCTTGTAGGCACCTCAAGGAGGAGCCACCAGGGAGGGGGACACTTGCCAGGGACGAGGTGGGAACAGGGAGGACGGATGAGGAGGGAGGAGGAGGAGGAGGAGAACGCACGTGGGGGGGGGATGGCCGCCAGGGAGGAGGAGGAGGAGGAGGAGGAGGAGGAGGAGGAGGAGGAGGAGGAGGAGGAGGGTGAGGAGGACGGACGGATTAGAACGAAGGAGGACACAGGAGGATAGCGAAAGAGCTGTCGTTTTGTTGCCTTTTCTCCTCTGTCCTCACGCCTGCTCCCTCTCAGTTTATGCATACTCAGAGTCACTCGCTCTCGTACTCAGACCACTCGTGCTCAGATACACCTACACTAAGCTCTCTCATGCTCAGACTCGTACGCATAGACTCACTCACACTGGCACTCACTCACACTCGCTCAGACTCGCTCGCACCCAGGTTCACCTCACCCTCACTCAGACTCTCATACTCAGCCCACTCATACCGAGACACTCGCAGCGGAAAGCGCCAGGAAGCTAGATGCACGTATGGGGATCTCAGCGTCGAGTAAGGTGTGGCCTGATGCGTGGTTGCCTCCGTCTCCTGCAAGCGTTTTTCTGGCGCGCAGGTGTTGCAAGCACATCGCCGACCAGGACCTGTTTAGCGACTTCATCATGGTGATCATCGGTGCCAATTGCCTCACGATGTGCTGCGGGAGATTTTCTCTCGACGACAGCTTTAGCCTCAGACCGCAGGGATATCGGGGAGCTCGTGGTGCCCGCGGCTTGTCAATGTCGACGGTGTGATCGCATCCCCGTCTGGTCGGTCCCGAATTCATGTAGCGGGGGGTTGGCTTCACCCCTCCCACCTTCTGTGCATATTCGTTGAAAGATTTGGTTCGGCGGGCGGTGTAGGGTGGTAGCTGCCAAGCAGCTGCGCGCGTTTGGCGGACAGTGCACCCACGTTTTAATCCTCACCGGTAGAGAGCACCGTGATAGAAGCCGGTCAGGTTTAACCCCGAGAGTCCTCAGCAGAGCCGAGAAGGCCCAGCGAGGCCGAGGTGCGTCATCGCCACCGATTCCCACTCCTGCTCCCCAAGTGTCATTCGATCCATGCCCACTCCCTCCTGCAGAGGTGGGTGGCAATGCAGTCGGAGCGTCGACGAAAAGGAAGGATGCCAGACATCCGAGGATGTGCTTGTTCAAAGCACGGCCCGGGAGGTCCCGCCCCATTCCTCGGGGCTGGCTTCCCGTCCCGGATCCATGTTTGATTATGGCCGGGGTCCGACGACGGGCCCCAGAGGCCGAAATCGAGGAAAGGCGTCCATGACCGAGGAAGCCAGCTCGCCGGAGCTCCGGGACTCTGGTCCCGGGGCGGGCTCCGCGTTCTGCGTGGGTTCTTCCTCGAGCTCGGGCTCCGCGGCTGCGCGCGAGGCGGGGGAGTGCGAGGGCCGCCGCAGCTCGGGCAGGCGCTGCTCGGGAGCGGCGGCGGGCGCGGTGCCCTGCCTGCCCGCCCCGCCTCGGGGTGGGCGCAGGGTCTGGCCCAGGCGGGGGTCCGAGCAGCCACTCCTCCTCCTCCTCCTCCTCCTCCTCCTCCTCCTCCTCCTCCTCCTCCTCCTCCTCCTCCTCCTCCTCCAGGGTCGGAGGGTCGCGCCGCACCGCCGACGTGGCGCCCGACTTCCTCCCACGCGCACGCGGCGCCGGCGCATCGCTGCCGTCGCCGATGCGTCACCGATGCAGCGGCGGTGCGGTGCGGTCCTCCGACCCTGGAGGAGGAGGAGGAGGAGGGGGAGGAGGGAGGAGGGGGGAGGAGGGGGAGGAGGGAAGAGGGAGGAGGGAGGAGGAGGAGGAGGGGGAGGGAGGGGAGGAGGGAGGAGGGAGGAGGGAGGAGGGAGGAGGGAGGAGGGAGGAGGAGGAGTGGCTGCTCGGACCCCCTCCTGGGGGGCCCCTGCCTCAGAAGGGCGCCGCGGCCTCCCTATGGTCGCAGCGGCAGCGGTCGCGCGGCGCCGGAGGGCCGGGAGCGGGGGTGCGGGGTGCGAACTGTCAACTTGACACCGCGCACCGCGGAGGAGGGAGGGCCTCCTCCTCCTCCTCCTCCTCCGCCTCCTCCTCCTCCTCGAGGGCCTCCTCCTCCGCCTCCTCCTCCTCCTCCTAGGGCGGCCGCGGAGAGGGAACAGCGGGCAGGCTCAGCGCTCAGAACATGCGGGTCTTCCCGCCGGTGTGACGGCCCATGCTCCTGGGCGGAGTCGTGCGGAGTGGCCGCTCAGGGAGCGGCGCAGTGACGCCAGTGCAGGGGCGCCGCAACTAGGGGGGCGCAGTCGGAGGGGTGCCCTTTGCCTTCTCCACCTCCGGCGCTGGGGTCTCCTGCTCCCGGCACGGCCCGTGGGCTCCACCGCCTCCTCTCTGTCCTCCTGCTGTTCCTCCAGTCGGCAGTGGGCAGCAGGCCAACTTTGGGGGGGCGCGAGGGTTCGAGCTTCAGTGCGGAGGTTCGAGGGAAGCCTTGGGCCTTCGAGGGTCGTGGGGGCTTCGAGGGGTCAGACAAGGTTCGGGGGAGGAGGCCTTGAACGTCAAGTTCACTGTGCGAGCGGTCGAGGGTCGTGAGAGACCCTGGTCAGGCCGTCGTCCTTCCGTTGTCCACGCGTTGCTCCGAAAATTGTTGCGCAACGGGCAGCCGTGCCTGAGGTTGATGGCACATTGTCGCGTTCGTCGTTGAACTGTTGGATTCTCATCCCTAAAGAATGACTCTTGTTGACCCTCCATCCGTTGCCCGTTGCTTTTTTCAATTGAAGTGCCCCTCCCGGGGCTCGTACCCTGGATTTTACGGGGGGAAGTGTTGAGCCTTAGACTGTGCTCTTAGCCCACAGAGTGCAACAGCTACGGCTCCCGCTTGATACTTCTTCACGCTGTATTGACACGTATTGTTTTTGCTAGAGAATTACTTGACATTTACATTCGAATCGCGCTCTCGCCTGAGACATTCTTACAATTTATTCACGCATCGCTCTCTCCGCGCTCTGGAATCGCGCTCTCGCTCGGGACTTCCTCACAGTTATTTCAGTAACCGCGCTCTTGCCTGCGACTTCATTGCCATCCGCTCTTGCTAATCCCTCTCGTACTCCATCTTCTACCTTCCTCCTCTTGGCCCCTTTCCCTCCTACCTCCCTTCATCCACTCCCTTCCTCCCCGTCTTGTCTGTTTTCCATGATTTCCTTTTTTCCTGATTTACGGGTTGCGCCAATAACACGCGGCTGGGAAGGAAGACATACCACCTAAATGGGGCACGATCAAATACGAAGTGAGTGGGTATCGAGGTTTTGGGATGCACATGTTATTTGATATGCGAGCATATGAGATCGAGCTCTTGTCTCGCCGCGTGCCATGTTTGCATTGCACGCGTCGGAAAACGCACCACGGAAATGAAGCTGTCTCAGGTATTGCAGCATGCTGTCATGGAGCACGCATCGTGGAGCGCAGCGCACGGGTGCGAGGAGCGCGGTGTATCCGTCGCTGCCTTGAATGCCCTCTTCCCTTGGCATCGCTCGGACGTGTGCATTTTTCCTTCGGCGAGGACCATCGAGGAGCATCCTTGATGATTTGGGGAAAAAGCCACGCACCGAAAAAAACAAAGGAAATGGACGTCCGAGCTATGGCGAGTTCCGATCCGTCCTCTCTCCTTTCCTGCCATACACGCATCAGACGGGCACGGGCCCGGAGGGTGGGCGCGCGAGCGCCGCATGCACGCGTCGGAACCGGGCCCGATGGAAGGCAACGGCTCGCCCTTGTCGGCTGGCACGGGCTGGCCGCGGCGTGTCTCGTCCAACGCTGCTGGGTGGCAGGCATGGGCCCAAGCGCTCCCCAGGGGGCAGGAACAATACAATGCCTGGGCACGTGCCCAGAAAGGAGTCGTGGTTCCGTCAGGCACGCACCGTGAAGTGGAAGGTTCGCATATACACGCGCCTGCTATTTGGGCACGGGCCCAGGGGGGAACAAGCCAGAGCTTGTTAAGCGCACTGCTTTGTAACAAGGGCACGGGCTCATGCGGTCCCCGGGGACCATAACATATCGGAGTGGTGGGCAAGGCCTCCGCCGGTCAAGGCACGGGCCTACTAGCATGGAGAGTTGCACAGGCATGGGGCACGAGCCCGACGATGACCGAAATTGCGTTGGTTTGCGCAGCATGCCAATTTTCTGACCTCCATTTCGTCTTGCCGTGTGTCTTCTTTCTTGTGGCTCCTTTGCAATGTATGCTTGATGGGTTTGCTCATCTGCAGTGTCGTGCTCGAGTCTCGGCATTTCCTCAGATGTGCTATCGAGTGCCACACGCGCGATGGCCCGCAGTCGCAGCAGGTCGCGCTACTGGCGGCGCCGGCGCAGTTCGTCGAGCCGTCGGTCGGGATTGTCTCCCCGCAGCCGCCACGAAAGAAGCAGAGGAAGATCTAGGCGGCCCGCTCCGAGTCCAGCAAGGGCCGGAGCCAGGGCTGACCACCGATATTTTGCAGGCCAGCCAGCGGAAGCTCCAGCAATGGCGGCAGCGCCGGCAAGCCAGAGCGGCGGGGACTTTCTAGCAGCCGCGGTGCCGGACGCCGACCGCAGCTTGGTGGCGAACGCTGTGCGCCTGCTGGCGACTCAAGGCTTCACCGTGGGGTGGCAGGTAGCAAACGCTCCCAAGGAGGTCTTGTGACAGATCTTGAAGCCCGACACAGCCCCACGGGAGCTCGCGCTACTGATGTGACTGTGCGCCCAGCAAGCCGGGCGCAGCCACCAGCAGCGCGGCCGAGACACAGCTCTTGAACATACCCTCAAGCGTGCGGCCCGTAGTCAGCAGGCACACATACGCGCGCGCAGAGGCGATTGCGAAATTACACTCGTGACGTGAGCTCTTCGTCCTGAGACGAAGCTGAGCCAGTCGATGGTGAGTTCCACTGAGTTCCATGCAGTCGTTTGCCTGTCCCGGTACGGCATCCCAGGTGTAGAGCACAACCACCAGCGCGACCACGAGAGCCTTCGCGCGACGATCCGGGCGGCTCGTCGCGCAGCCACACCAGAGGGCAACCACAACAGAGACGGTTGTTCCTGTGCCGGGAGCCCTTGGAGAAATGGGCCCCGCAATGGATGAAGGACAAGCCAACAGCGAAAACCATGACGCACGCGCAGTGGGCGGCGTGCTTCTGGTCGCGGGCCCCCGCTGGGACCAGGCCTGCGCTCCGGAGAGAGACCTGGCCCTCGTGGGCGAGAAAAGGAAGGCGAGGGCACGGGCCGGCAGCCCTGCCAGTCGCAGCGCCAAGCCCAGACTCAGCAGCTAGCCCCTACAGACCGGCCCCGGCCGCCGCCCCTGCCCTCGGCCTGGCCAGGCCAGGCGCCCGGGCACCAGGGAGGCAACGGCTTCCAGAAGAGCGGTGGCAAGCCCGCCAGAGGGCCGGAGCGGGCCCCGCGGCCCTGGGCCTGACCCGCCCACGAGGGCGGGGCCTGGGCGGCCAGCAGCAGCGCGGCCGTTCAGGACGAGGGGGGGTCTTCCGAGATTCCCTCCGTGAGGCTGCGGACACAGGGCGGGCGCGACAAGCCCGTGCGCCACTTTTGATGGAACGGCGAGGCGCCCATGAGCAGGGGGCGCCCGCAGGGCCCCTGCCTCCAGAACAGCGACACATTCTTGAGTGCATTGTGCGAGACGCCATGGCCTGGCATGAGGAAATCGAGGCTGCCCTGACGCGCTGGCGGGCCCGCGAGCAAGCCAGCGCCGCGCGGCTGCAAGCTTGGCAGTCCCTCCAGGCGTCTAAAGTCGGCGTCTCGGGTCGTCTGGGCCCTTTCCTCATGAGCGAGATGCTTGCGGAGGTAAGCCATCCAGACAAAGGATACGTTGACGATCTCCTTAACGGCTTCCCGCTCACGAAGTCGCGAGGTTGGGGGCTTCGGCGCAGACCTGCCTGGTGGCAGGTGCAGTGGGCAGGCCAGGCTGGAACGGGCCGCGCCCCTTGCCAGCGCTGCAGGGCAGGTGCGTCAAGCTGAACAGCTGGGCCCTCCACGCGGCGGAGGCCAGGCACCCGCGGGTGGAAGACGAGCTCGCTCTCGCGGCAGAGGTCCGGCGAAAGGTGCAAGCCGATATCGCGGCGGGCAGAGCTGGCCTTGCCTGCGAGATCGGCGACGTGGACTTGAGCACGGTGTTATTAGTGGAGCCGTTCGGCATTATGGAGAGCCGCGTGCCGCTGGCAGATAAGCCAGGGATAGCAATATTTTCACGACAAAGATGGTGAACGACTGCGCTTGAATGCACATTCCATTGTGATGTGCACGACCACATGTTCGAGGCGTTAGCGTGCATCGCCGCTGCCGCCCGCGAGTCCGAGATCGCCTCAGACGTGGTCCTCTGGAAGTCAGATCTCTGGTCGGCGTTCAAGAGGCTACCGCCTGCCAGCGAGCATTTGTGGATGTGTTGGGCGCTAGTGTTTAATGCGGATCTTCACCGCTTCCAGCTCGCGCCGCTGTTCTCGCGCGCGCTCGGGCACTTCAGCGGGGTGACAGGGTGGTTTCGGACGGCGCAGGCCCTGAACGCCATTGCCGCCACGCTCTTCGCCCTGCCAGTCCTGCTCTACGTCGACGACGTGTTTTGGGCCGCCACCGGCGCGATGCTGCCCAACGGGCGGCCCGTCGCTCAGGGGATAGCAGACGTTTTCAACGAGCTCGTCTGCTCCATGCTCCGCTGGGAACTTGATTATCAAAAAACACTTGTCGCCCGTAGCACCGTGGAGGGGGGCTCTGTGCGATGGTGTCTCGGGGATAAGAAACGGGGGCAATGGTGCGCGGAGATCCCCCTACCCCTACGCATGCCCTTCGTGGCCCCGCTGTCGCCCTGCGTGGCCCCCTTTCTGCCCTTCGTGGCCCCGCTGTCGCTTTCGCTCTCGCTCTCGCTCTCGCTCGTCGTCGTCGCCGTCGTCGTCGTCGTCATCGTCGTCGTCGTGGGGTCGGTCCCCTGTCCGTCCCTCTTGGGGTCGGGTTGCCGCCGATCAGCGCTGCTGCTGGCCTGGCCGACGGTCCACGGCCGCCCCGCCGCTTGCCGGGGCCCAGTCTGCAGGGAAGAAAGATATACCCCCCAAAAGGTGTACGATCGAAGACGAAGGTTTGGGAAACACATCGAAGGTTTGGGAAATACACGTTGAATCACACTCGAGGCGGTAAGAGCGAATAGTATATAAGGATCATTGTTGCTGCTGTTGTTGCCGCTGGTGTTGTTGCTGTTATTGCTGGACCGGGGGGGCAGCGCCGGCCTCTTCCTCCCGTGGTGGAGGTGATTGATCCGCTCCCGACCCCCGGGGGGGCATGCTGGCCTGTACTTGTTGCTGTTGTTGTTGTTGTTGTTGTCGTCGTTGTTGTTAGTGTGGTTAGTTTTGTTTATGTTGATGCGTACGTTGAGGGGCATGGTGCTGTTTCTGTAGCTGTTCTGGTTGACTTTGTGATGGTTGCGCATGGATAGGGAAACGTTTGTTGTGCGACAGTCGCATGTGCACGTGATTGGGCGTTGCCTAAGTCGCGAGGCCCGTTTTGCACGAGGAGCGCTGTCGGAATGCAGTGGCTCTGAGGTTTCGGATGGTTGGACGCGGAGAAGGCGGTCGCCATCATGGAGGTAACCTTCTTGTGCATTTTCATCGTCGAGATGGTCATCATGATTCTTGCGCGCGGGCCGACACAGTACGTGAACAATCCGATCACGTGCTTCGATGGGGTTGTTGTGGCGGGTTCAATCGTGGAATTCGTCGTCAACGCCTTGTCGGAAGACGGTGGAGGACGCCTTCAAGTGTTGTCATGTTGCATTTGCCGTGGTCAGCACGCACATTGTTTTCTCCCCGTTTCTCGGATGATCTTCCCATGTTCAGTCCATGCTCTCGCTTGCTGTAAGCGTACTCGTGGCTACCCTGGGTGCCCAGAAATTAGAGCAACGCAGGCTGGAATGTGAAAGCTTAGCGTGTCCTGACCACGCTCGTGCGCCTCTAGGAAGTCATCACGTCGGTCTGAGTCGCTGTCGTCGTCGTCTTCTGCAGTAGCCCGAGGAGGTCGATATTGATCTCGTTAATGGTCCCCCGTTCGCTGAGGGGCTGCATATGGTGAACGTGCTTGGCATTGCAGTTGCCTGGTAGTTGCCACCCGCGGTTCCCATTCAATCGTCTCAAGATTTCTGGCGCGCCAGGAGGCTGAATGCTACGCTTAAGAACTGCAGGCGGCAGAGCATTTGCTAATCCGTTGCGCACCTGCATCAGCACATCCAGAAGCTATCCCCAGGCGTGTCGCCGTGGCCAGGGAAGAGCATGCAGTGGAACAAAGAGGAGGGCAGCCGTCAAATCGAATCCCGGGATCGGCAATCAGAGAGACTATCTGAGATTCAGTGGGACCATGTTTGGGCGCTGTCGGGGCAATGTTGGATGCCTTTGGGGCTCTCTTGGGCTCCTCTTGGAGGCCGTCTTGGGACCAGATTTGGAGAACGAGCGATCGCACATTGGAGCAATACTGGAACGCTCTTGGGGCGCTGGTGGGCCCCATTGGCGGTCGTGGAGCCTGGGGCCCCAGAAGCCCACCAGAAGCGACATGGCGATTGCCGAAATCATTAAAACCCATCAAATTGTGAATGGTGTTGGCAACTTGAGGGCGGCCTTGGGAGTCTCTGTGGTCAGATGGGGCTGCCTTGGGACCATCCTGGGGACTCTTGGAAGCATGCTGATGGCCATGTTGAGCAAACTTGGAAACTATTGTGCAATCTCGAAAGCCATCTTAGCCCCGATTTGGCCAAACCACTCAATGGTATAAGGTGTTTTAGTGAGTTTGTCTATGAGCGAGGGGGAACATATCATTGCTGCGCCCTCGGAACCTGACACATCGCTTACTGGGGCCCTCTGGGGGCCGTCGTGGAGCCTTTGTGGTCCCATATCGGGGCTCTCGCCTGCTATCTCATATGGGACGTAAGGCTGGTGACTGCACCATTGGTCCGCCTCAGTAGAATTGTAATTAGTAGGAGTGATTGTAGTCGTTGTACTGGCGACAGTTGTAGTGGCAGTGGTAGTGGTGGTAGCAATCGCAATGTCCATAAGATGAGCGGCATCAATATCTAGCGGCTTGTTTCAGCCCAATCCGCCACCGTGCCTGGGTTCTGGACCAGAGGCCTCTTGGATCTCGTCCTGGCGACCGTGGGGGCCAGATTGTGGTGGGAGGCTCGAAATGTCTGTTCGAATTCTTCCCATTGGGCTTCTCTTGGGGTCGCATTGGAGGCCTCCTGGGCACTATTCGGTCCCTCGGGTGCCTCTTGGCGGCAACTTCTGGGGCCTCACTTCGGGCCCATCCCTGGGGAGAAGCACTCCCTGGGCCTCTTCGTGTTCCCCTCCCATCTTCATGGGGCCATCTTCATGGCCCCGTCTTGAGAGTCTGCTGGGCCGCCGTGTGGCCCACTTGGCGGCCTTCTGCTGCGTTCTTGGGCGATCTAGGGGAGCCTTTGGGGCTGTCTTAAAAGTCTCTGGGGCCGTATTGGGGGCCCCTTGACTGCCGTTTGCGCAGTAGTTGACAGATGCTTGGGGCCCTCTTGGGCCGCCTCGGGCGACCTGGAGCGCGGAAACGCGAATGCGCCAAAACAGTCACATGCTTAAAACATCAAATGTGAAGGCCTCATGGGGGCCATCTTGCGGGTCATCTTGGAGCCCTTTTGGGGCGAATCGAGTGCCGCTTGGGCCGTCTTGAGGCTATATCAGGCCCTCGTGGACAGTCTCGTGGCCTGGGACCATTCGTCTTGGCGCCCTCTGGCCTCAGCAGAAGTCACGCGACAAGCCCCGGGTGTCGTGTGTCACGTCGTTGCAAATCCGTGTGTTGGGGGCCTGGGGCCCCTTACAAGGGTTTCCAATATCATTGAGGAATCGAACGCACCTAAGGACACTCCACTCAATGCCTAGTGGTACGGTGGCGGCTGAGCATTATTAGTAGCAGCAGTCGTGGCAGCAGCAGAAGTAGTAGTGATCTGGGGGGAAGCCGTAGCCGCGATCGCTGGGCATGCCCTCAGTCACTCTTCCTCGCCTGCAGCGTCCCCTTGCCTGCAATCAGCCATGAGTCTTCGTTCACGATTGCCAGGAGGGTTCCTCAGCGTGTTGCGGACGTTCCGCTTGTTCCGAGTGATGAACAAATTAGCACATAAGTGGATCAGGCTCAAGGCGCTTCCATTGCACCGTCGTTGCCGGCCGTCCTTCCTCATTATTCGTGCCTCTCGCTGTTGTTTGCAGGTCGGTCAGCCTGGTGTTGCACGCTTGAGCATTCTCTCCCGACTCTCGAGCAGGAGGAGGAGAAGGAGATTATGATGATGATGAGGAGGAGGAGGAGGAGGAGGAGCAGGAGGAGGAGGAGGAGGAGGAGCAGCAACGAAAGGAAAATCGATGAGAAACATGATGATAAGGAGGAGGAGGAGGAGGAGAAGGAGAATGAGGAGGAGGAGGAGGAGGAGGAGGAGGAGGAGGAGGAGGAGGAACAGCAGCAGGAGAAAAACTCCCTCCTCCCTTCTCCTCGTCTTGGGCTGGTCCTTGGCCGCTGCTGTCTTTCTGCACTTGGGGGCCCCACCATCGGCTATTCTTGGGGCCGCTCGTTGCCTTCGCCTCGTCCCTCCCCTGGCGGCCGGAGGGCGCCTGGGAGGATCAGAGCCCCGAGCCATTAGGACTGGGGGCAGCTACGGATTCGTGCCTGCAGGGCCCAAACTGGAGATGCCCCGGACCAGGGCTTTCCTGGACAATTCGGGCGTCCACCCGGTCCCGAATCAAGGGGGCCGGGGGCGGTCAGGGGCACCTCCCGGTTCGCGCGTCGGGGGCCCAAGCCAGAATCGCCCCAGACCGGACTTGTCCCGGATGATTCGGAAGTTTAGGGGGAGAAACGGCGTGTCGCTTCATGGCCAGGTGGGGAAACGCGTGGATCCACAGAAGGTGAATGACCTTGGCTTTGTGAGGCCACTCCGTGAAGCGGTTCGCCCCCTCTACTCCCCTCAGCCTCTGAGGCGAGTGGCACGAATTGGTCTCCCCGTCGTCGTCTTCCATCCTCTCCCTTCCCCCTCCTGAATGCATGTCTGACATCGTTCACCGTCGTTGTCCACCAAGCTACTCCGTCTTGCAAAGGCATGAGGTTTGGGAGATCGCCGTGAAGTTCGTAATCGATATTTGACGTCATTTTTCAGATTGCGGCTGTTTGTTTTTATGGTTGATTTCAGAGAGCCAATCGTTTTCGGATGAAATGTTTGTGCACGGTGGGAGCAACACGAACTTTCGCGATCACCCCCGCCACATAGCCTCTGCCAGGGTAACTAGCTAGGCCCAAGCTTCATCCAGTGTTCAGCTAAGGAAGCTATGGCCACTCTCCTTGGGCTCAGGCTGGAGGCCCGTGATGTCCAAGGGGTTATTTTCCTCCTCCCCCCCTCCCACATCCTCTCCTCCCACATCCACTTTTTTTCCGCATTGGTCTCCATGCCTATGTGTCGCGACTATGCCTGACCTGAGATTGTCCGTCGGCAGCCTTGGAGGGGGATCTGAATCTGAGAGAGTTTCGCAACTTACTGGTGGGCAGGTCGCATGATCAAGATTGGTCGGTCCCTCCCAGATCCTTGGCGTCGTGAGTATACGTGACGTCTTGGCTCCAGACTATCTTGGCAGCCGGGTCTATATCTCCAGCTAGTTACCTGAGTGCCAGGGCTGATTTTCCAGGCCGCGACCTTTGGGAGCTTCTTGGCGAGCGGGCGGTGTCGCATGAAGTTGAGCACGGCTGCGAAGAGCACCAATCGAGCCATGAAAGTTTGAGTGCGATTCTCTGTGCTATTTTTCCTTTTTCTCCACTTCTGGCAAATCGCCAATGTTTCTTGAGAACCTGCAAGCATGGAATGTCTCAGGTGGACCGGCTATGTCGCTGGGTCAATTCGTGACACAAGCCTCTTCGCGGGGGACAGGGCAGGACAAGCGTTCCGTCTGCTCCTGAGCCGTCATGGGGTCTCCTGGGACCGTTTGGGGGGCCTCTTAAGCCGTCCTGAGGCCCTCTCCGGCCATCTTGTGACTATCTGGATCGTCTTTGCGGTATCCTGGGGCCGTCTGGGGGCCTCATCGGGCCGTCCTGGGACCTCCTTGGGCCGTTCTCCTGGAAGTTCTCCTGTTGGGGCGTCTTATGCCCCTGTTGGATCGCCTTGGGCCGCGCTTCAGGTCCTTGCCGTCCTCTGGCGATCCAGGGCGCCTCTTGTCCTTCCATCGGGCGCTATGATGAAAGCAAAGGTGGGCATGCATGAATCGTATTCAGGTTGTTTTGTCGACAAGTCTGGTTGTCCTGTAGCCCTACTGGGCATCTTGAGCCGTCTTGGAGCCGTCTTGAGGCCTTCATGGGCCAGTCGGCAGATGTGGTGCGGCCCGCCGCGGGGGGTAGAGGGGGGCATTGACATTATTCTTACCTGCTGAGTCTTTTGTTGAATTGATTGACGGTACGTTGGTCTGATGTAAAACGTGGTTTTGGGAGGCTGCGCCCAAACACGGACCCCGGCTATGCTCCTTTCTCGAGCCCCTCTGGGAGTCTTTGGGGGCGCCTTGGGCTGGGCCGTCTTGGGCCGCGCTCGCGGCCCTTCTTGGGCCGCGTTGGGGCGGTCTCGGAGGCCTTCGGGAGGCCCTATTAGGCCGTCTTGGGGCCGTGAGACCCTATTGAGCCGTCTGGGGCCGTATTGTCGGCTCGTTTTGTTTTGTTGTTATATTGGGGGGCGTTTTGGGTCGTCTTGGACGATACGAAGACCGAGAAGGCGAGTGTTGAAGACATTCAATCGGGGTCAGTGGATCTAATGTTGGTTGGCGTCTTCGCAAGTTCAGGCGGGTTTGCACAGGCAAGGGCCAATCTGTTTGGGACGATGTGCACGATGGTGCCAGCGGTCCAGATGATGCGATATCCGAACAAGGACTTGTTTCCAGAAGTCCCCTTTGTTACTGTTTCGGAATTGTGGCACTTGGTGTCGCAATTCCTGTGCTCAAGAGGCTTGGCATTTGCAACAGGCTCTGCGCAGCTTGGCTGCACATCTCAACGATATTGGGAGGTATAGTGATGGGCTGCACGGTTGAGTTCCAAGTATTTCGAATCATCGGCTTCCAACTTGCCCATCAATTTTGGAATGGCGTATTTTGCATGGTTGGCCACGCTTGTCGTGCTTGCTGCGTTTACCATTAATGTTGTGTGCCACACGGCAAACGAAAGCATTAGTGGCAAGTTAGTTGCGGTACTCTGTGTGTATAGGCCAGTGCCGCGGATATTGAGAACATGGCTCACCTAGAACATGCCGAGCACTTTCAACACACATTCGTACACATAGCTATGACGGGCAACGATCTGGGCATGACCCGTGCCGTGTGCATCGATAGTCCTGTCTGGCTGGATGGTGCCACTTGGGGATGCTTGTGTTGGGGGCCTGGTCATGCGTGCCTCCATTGTCATCACGAATGCACGGCTGGCAACTGGTTTTCTGAGCTCGGCGAGCCTCTTGCATCGATCTCTTTCAACGTGGTGTTCCTCACAAGTGCAGCACTGGCGGTCACGTTCCTTCCAAGGCAATCGAGCGATCCCGAGGATGAGGCTGAGGATCCCGAGCGTGCTGGAGACGCATGCTGCCGTTTATGTTCCTTTCCTTTCTCCTCCTCAGCGTGATCCACGGATGAGTTCCACGGGGGGTGGCAATTCAAGTTGCCGCGACCTAATTCTGGAGGCGGCGCATCAGCCTGGCTGAGTCTCTTAGCGGCGTTTCATGAGATGTTTTGCTGCATCCGGTCGGGAACTTTTGGATAGCGAGTCGCGCCACCGGTTCTGTCCCACCGCGCTTCGGTGCGACACGCTATCCACTTCCCAGCCCCCAGGCTTCAACGTCCCGAGCCTTTCCGAGCCTCCCGCCCCGCGGAGCGGAGCGATACGCTATCCGCTCGGAGGGCATGGCGTTTACCCTAGCGCCTCGATCGCCGCGTAAAGAGAGTAGCCTGATGGGTTGTGGGCCTTCGCGGTTCGGCCCGCACAGCCAGCGGGGCTCTTGCGGCAAGTTGCCAGGGCCGCGGCAATCTGCCGTGGCCAAGTTTCGGGTCCTCTACTCGCTTGTTGGCTCGCCATCGTCAGCAGTGCCCCATTGGCTGCGCGCGTACCCGAATTCGCCAGGACTGCGACCGTGCATACATTCCTATAATCGTGCATCTTGCATGGAACCCTCTCCAGATGCCCCCCCTACCTTTCGCACGGTATTCGCCAGCCAGCCCCAGGGCACTTGTCGGAAGAGGCACAAATCGTCGCATTCCTTTTGGGAGACGTATATGTTTAACAAATTCGCTTCTCCGGTCCTGACAGCGTCCAAGACGATCCAAGAGGCCGCCAAGATCGCTCTAAGACGACGCAAGAGGTCCCCAAGTGGGCCCCAAGACTGCTTAAAAGGGCTCCAAGACGGCCGAACGGAGTTCCAAAACAGCCCAAGACAGGCCCCAAGGGAGCCCCAATGGCGGCCCCCTTGACGGCCCAAGAGGGCTCGAAGAGGGTCCAAAGACGGCCCAAGCCCCCCAAGACTGTCCAAGAGGGTCTCAGGATGGCCCAAGAGGGCCCCCAGCTGGCCCAAAAGAGCCACAAAAGGACCCCCTAAGAAGGCCCAAGAGGTCCCCTGAGACTTCCCAAATGCTCCCAAAAAGGCTGCCAGAAAGCCCCAGAAGCATATGGGAGGTCTCGCGTCTGCGTCCTGCACGGCGTCCCCAGAAAGGCTTCCAGAGGCCCTCGATTCACGAGCCATGCAGGTTTTCCAGAGGCCCGACAGATACACGTCGCGAGGCCCCGACGGGCACTCAAGACGCCCCGAACTCGCGATCCAGGTCAGTGGTGTGCCGCCATGGCGGCACGGCGGCCCCAGCGGCATGACCACGACCCCCCTCGCGGTCGTGTCCGTGTCCCAGCTTCATTGGGCGACGGCCGCTTTATCCCCCGAGTTAGAAAATTTCTACTCGCTTCGGCCAGCTGTAGGCCAGTCGGCGCCATGAACGCCAAGGCCCCCTGAAGCCCCCTCAGGTCAGAGACCTTCCCTCACGGCGTCCAAACAACACCCAGGCCACCTCCAAAACGAGCGGACATCAGTCGGCTACTGCTCGTCCTCATTCGCTTCCTGCTCTTCACCTTCTGCTCCATCTCCTACTTCGTC